TGACACAAGTGGCGGGCATTTGATTTTGAATGGAATGCCAAATGTCAATAAAAAAAATCAAAGTTTATTAAAATCAGTTGCTAGGTCTATCATATCATCGAACCATGTATGGTACGATTTGGTTTGTGGTCGAGGTAGCAATGCCGCCGCCAGCAACGCATCGAAAAATGATTTATTTCTACATTATTGGTGTTTAAACTCATTGTGCGCATTGAATGGTTCAATATTTCGAAAAATGCCATGCGACAACTCTTCAAGTGTTTAATTGATTTTTAATCAGACTATGGCTTTGATTTGTTTGCTGCGAGAAATGGAATTTAGATTGATGTTGACAAATGCGTGCTTCGCAACATTTGTACAAATTGATCGATAGTTTTGTTTTTTTCTTTTTCGTTTTTTTTTTCGCTCCAGACCCGAACGAAAGAACAATGGCCCTTTTTTTGAAACAATGACCAAGAGAGAATGTTTTGTACGACGAATGCTTGTGTCCGTCTCTCACGAATGTGTTCTATTTTTTTCCCTTCTTATTGATTGTGCCACGAATGTGGTGCTGGTCATCGACCCGATGATTCAACTCAAAATTTTTAAACGCAAACCAATAATATATATTCACACAAAACAGACTGAAATAATGGGTTGTTCATTGAAATTCGAACGATTTATGTTTATTTTATTCGCTCCCATTCTTTTTATTTTCGTAAAATAAAAGAAGAAAAAACGGCAATTTTGAAATTGTAGATTTTTCGAAAAAAAAGACATTCAAACGCCTGATTATAATTATATTGTCGGCCAGCATTTTCATTATTCATTTTGACGTGCGACTTTTTCCTTCTGTAGTTTCTAAAACGTTTTTGCTGAGAAAAGTGTGTCGATTTGAAACTTGAGTGTGTCCGCATAATGTCTTTGTTGAAAGGCAAAAATTAGTTTAGCGACTACAACGACGACGGCAAAAAAAAAACGTATCGAGAACCAGATTACAAAAAGTAACAAAGTCGTACACAAATTTTGCTACGTAATCATGTAGAAGAGTAGAGTGTGTATTTAGGCATATACAACAAAAGCAACAAAAATCCCATCATTTGAATTTGACGCGAAAGAATTGCTTTGGTTTAGATAACCTTAGCAACTACTGTTGGAAAACGTTTCGAAAAATCCAATTAAAAATATGGTTTCTGACTTAGATCAACTATTTGGTCGAATGGGTATCCGGCAAACCGGCGTTCTGACGACAATCCCACACAACCGCACATACATTCCTTCCACTAAATAGTGGCAACAGCGAATAACAAAACACACATACGTACACACGTTCTCACGTAATATGAACCAGAACGCTGTGTATGAGAACAGAACGCTATCATCATTTATTTGGCGTGGACGGTATCATTACTTTCGTCATTACCATCATTCAGCATAAAGCGTCCGGAGCACATGCGTATAATATAGGAACGGAACCGAAGTCACAGAAAAATACTACTACTTCGCGCGCGTACCGCATGGTGAACAAAAAACAACAACAACATTTGAATGAATCAAGCACGTGAGCAATGAACCATTGATGTGATTTCTTTTCAGTTGTTGTTGTTGTTGTTGTTGCACATTTAGCTGCTATTTATGGAAACATGAGAACGACGCGGCACATGTACAATATAAATGCTATAGTGTGGTGTATATTTGGCGGATTTCGTCCCACATTTATGCTATTTTCTTGCAAGAAGTACTCCGCAAATCTTGGATGACGCAATTTATCGTAAGATGCCCTCATGCATTGTAGTTCGTCATTGAAAGAAAGAAAGAACCACCGACGATTACGATTTCATTGTCCGCTTGCACGGTGTGTGTGTGTGTGTGTGTGTGTGTGTGTTTGTTTGCATGTATTCCAGCTGAGCGGAAAAACTATTGAAAGCCGCCCCCGATTAATTAACTTAACTGAATCATATAAATTTAATGAATCAAAACTAATCAAATCTGAATCATCTCTCTCCGTTCACTAATTTATTCGTTGGAATTTCAAATGAACCAAAGACAGCGATTAAATTGAGTGCATTATCAATCCATAACAACACGGTATGCTTCATTTAAATACCGTCAGCAGACGAGAATAATTAAGCTGACTTTTAATTACTGATAAAAATAGATTCATTGAGTCATTTGCAGCTAATATTAATCAAATTCGGAAGTGATCAATCGATCAACCTGATTAAATCATTTCAGGCTTGCTCTCTCTCCCGTGCATCGTAAACTCATTGTTTATTTCAATTACACCCTCTTGACCATATACGGCTATTCAGAAATGAGCGTTAAATTAATACAATTGATTGTTGATCCTAAAATCGTGTGTCCGTTTGTTGATAGTGTTTCATTCGTATTTTGAGATGAAAACAAACTGATTTGGGATTTCAATTAAAAAATTATTATTCGCTTTATCATTTGAAATGAGCATTTTGCGTCATATTTTACACAAATGCTGAAAATAGAATAGAAAATCACTTAAAGTCATGGAAGAGTGTTTTCACAATGAAAAGGCAAAAGTCAAATTCAAACGAATTTCTAATCGAAGTGATTTCTACTCGGCTTACATGGAAGATCATGGGGTCTCTGATAAAAGGTTTTGGTCAGAAAGGATTATGACGAAAGAGTTGTTATTTTAACGAATAACTTAGTCTTGGAATTTTGGTTTGAAATTCAATACAAATTCGAATGTTTGTCCCAAATTCAAAGAAATTTAGAGTGAACTCTTTATGAATGAACTAACAACACGTCACAATACATTAAAAAGATTTATGGTCAAGGTCTCGATGTGACAATACATTATCAGCAAATATGATTCAATTTTAAAAGTGTTCTGCTTTTCAGAGGTCGGTAAAAGTCGCTGGCAAACCACAACATTCTATCGTATACGATAAAATTGAGATAATGAATACCACAAACCAATCACCAATCAAAAAAAAAAATCGTGAAACGAATTTCAAGTTTTTTCTATAAAACAACGTTGAAATATTACCAACTCATGAAAATAATTCAACGAAGCACTGTGCAGTAATTACTTTTTAATTGAGTGCATTAGATTGTTCAGTTCGAATCGGAGCGTCGTTTCGACATTTTTATGCAAATTCATGCAACGTATCGCTTTCGATGCGGATATATGATAATAAAGCAGTGGAGCGTGTACAACACGATTATTGAATAAATAACGATGATTGATTTTTATGCTAATGAAGTTGAACGAACTTCTAATTAAACAAAAAACCAACTTATGCAATTCTTAAAACGGACCTAATCTACCGAATTTTACGCATCAAATGTGCCGGAGCAAGTTTGGCAGTCTCAGTTTGATTTTTTCCTTTCATTTTCTTTACACAATTTTTTATTGGTCTTGTCAGTTAATCTTCAAATACATTTATTCACTGATAGCCACTCGCGTTTTTTTCTTGTCGTGTCCAATGAAAAAAAAATGGGAGAAAAAAATGTTGAGATTCAAATCAAAATGTCGAATTTAAGAAAAAAAGAAGAAAAAAAAGGAAAACAACCATACAACTTTACGTGCAGGCCCCCAGTGGTATACCCTTTCGTTTGGCAAAGGCAGACACACACAAGGGACAAACAATATTTTTGCATGATCCATTCTTTCGGCGGCACCTGGAAGAGAAGGAACAAAGGCAATTATTCTGCATTTTTACCAACGAATTTCACTTACCTCGTACTTACCTACGGCGGAATCGAACCTCCGAACCTTTGATTACTAAACTCACACTTTAACCACTGAACCATTGCGCGGTCGAGTTAAGATGCATTCGTTTGTGCACCGACGATTGATTGAGCTTGTGACGACACGCTCTCTTCTCTGTTGATGCTGCTATACGTTTGCATATTGTTTATTGTTGTTGATGCCGTCGTCGACGGCCCGTCGATAGCATCGATATTCGCATTTGCACACAGTTTAAATTGACAGCAATCGTGTTTGTAAAATGAAATTGGGTTGTGCCTTTTAATTTTATGCAACGTATCGACTTTATGACGACAATCAGTACAGCACGTTCAACCGAATATATTAAATAATAATTAACTGCGATTTTTTTTGTGTTAATGAAGTTGAACGAACTTCTAATGATAAAAAAAATCTAACAAATTTTACGCATCGAATGTTTCGAAGCAAGTTTGGCTATCTCAGAATGATTTGTTGTTTAATTTCATATTCATTGCTCAATTTCTGTTTGCTTTGTCGTGCTAACATTTCATTTCCTTGGTTATTATACTCTGATGTATTATTTTGGACTTTTCAATTTCGATTCATTATTAATGAATCATTAATCACGCCCAGTAATATGATATGTATATATCATGAACAAAATAGCGGATAAACCCCGAAAAAAACCCAAAATGACTAGGTCATTGTGACATCTAGAATTTTGATTCATTTCAAATGAGTAAAATTTATTCAATGAGTTTATTGTGCCGCAAACCCTCAAATAAATGGTCTTTATCTCAACGTGCGGCCAAAGCAAGTGAGTTATCACTGCGAACGTCTCGTGCGCGCTCTGATTCTTAATATATAAGAGAAGAATGACTGGATGAAGGTTGAATCATTCCAATCATAAATAAGCGCCAGTTCAAGCGCAATGAAACACAAAACTCCATCCAGATTTGTTTTCTTTTTTCTTTTTGTTTATTCAAACCAAAGAACTTACACTCATTTTAGATGATAAGATAATCGAAACGAATCAATTGAAACCCGCTGAATCGATAAGAAGAACGTAATCAAGTGCCATTATACAATACATATCATAGTAAATCATAGTAAATCCAATGTATTAACTTGTGTTACTTAAACACAAGGATATTTTGTATACAAAAACCTTTTAAACATCGGTTCATTGTAGTTCATCGTAGTTTAACCCACTTTCGTTTTAGATCAGACGTCAATGCACATATTTATGTGCATTTTTTTTATAATTGATTTTTTCATTGTCTTCACGTTTTTTTTTCTGTCTTCTCTACAGGATTTTACATTGAATTGACTAGAATTAGACAGAGAAACCGAAATGACCAACAAAAATGGTAGCGTTGTGCCGGCCGCACAGGAATTAGAGACGTTCTTACCTATTGACAGTGTAAATGGTGTGACAAAGTGAGTATTGAAATTTGCTACAACGTTATTGTGTGATGCGCACAAGAACCAAATAAATACACTCGTTCTGCTCTCTCACTTGCTCTGTCTGTGTGCATTTAGAATGCTCTATTTAGAAAAGAGAAACACGAAGAAAAAAAAACACAAAACGATACGGCTTTAATGAAATAACAACAACAACACCACCAACAGCAACAGTAGCAGCATGCGTTTCACTCACATTTCGTGTGAGCCAAGTAATTATCCATAAACGGTTGTAGAAATGAGAATAAACGATCATAGTACACAATGCGTGCACAACAAACTAACTATCTGTTTCATCACTTTCGATTTGAGAATTTCATTGCATTCGCACGTCCGACACACCAACACCGACCGTCATGCCATTCATTTTCGATTGGAGAAATAACGGAATCAATACGCAATCAATTCCAATCTGGCAGAGAAAAAAAAGACGCAAAGATATATAAATGGTACACTTGTTGCACAGCTCACACTCAATTCATCATTTGCACTGCATGTGATCGCTCGCATGTCGCTTCATTGCAGATTTGTTATCAGTGTGTCCAAAGTCGAAGAAAATTCTTTCTTCTGTTTTTTTTTTAATTTTTCTGTTATTAATTGTTTTTTTTTTTGTTATTTCATTTGTATTGATTGCAAAAATTGTTGAATATTAATTAAAATTTGCTAATTTCGTTGATAAAAAAAACTGTCGAAAAATGAAAATTCCAAATTTTGACACTAAGACGTGAGTACTATAAATGAGAATAGAATTGAGTCAAAAAGAAATTACAGTCAAATTTCGGAAGTCGATTAAACGAATCAGAATTTCAGTATGAATACCGGTGAATTTTCCCACACGTGAGAAGTTTGTTAAACGTTTTTTTTTTTCGTTAAAATCATGATGCAACTGTGAAACGTGTTGCTTGAGAAGCGGCTCTGCACCGCATGCTCGCTCAGCAAACAGAAGAGCAAAAAAAAAAGAAACGAAATAACAAATCACAACCTGCATTAGACAATGAAGGGCAGACCACTCGGTTGGTTTATGAGCATATCGTTTAGTGAATTTTTCGTGAAAGTACTTCGGTTGTAGGGCACAAAAATCACAAACGAACGAAAAAAAATGCACGCAGAAAAACACTGGCAGCATTTTCCGATATGTATTTCAATTGAATCAGCAGAAAAAAAAACTGAGTTCCACAAATGTGTTGATCTAAACATAATTTGGATTGCGATTTGGTCAGTTCTGCGAACAAGACTGCGATTCGCATTTAGTTTTGTTTCACAAGCACATCGTGTAGCACATCCGCAATTTTTCGTGTATCACCGCGTAGTTTTTTTCCCTTATATTTGGATAAATGGAATTGAATCCGACGTAAATCTAAATGTTCATGTGTGCCTGTGTGCGTGTGTGTGAGAGAGAGAGCGCGCGCGTGCATGCCACAGTATGAGACAATCCAAAAGTAAATTAATTTTCGCAATTTGATTTGTTGCAGGTATAAAATACAGCCAGCCAAAAAGGATGTGGAGAATGGCGGCGTTGCTGAATTCAATCCATTTTTGGAGCGAAAAAATGACCATCCAACATCGTGAGTGTGCCCGTATAATTCTTCCTTTAGTTGCAATTTGATTTGATTTAGTGACGTTTCATGTGATTTATTCACGTTTCAACAGTGACAATGAGACATTGACCCATCTGCTGAAAGCATCACTGGGCACTGGCATCCTGGCCATGCCCTTCGCATTCAAATGTTCGGGATTGTTGTTTGGTATTTTTGCCACAGTCGTTACTGCCTTCATTTGCACACATTGTAGCTACATTCTGGTGAGTACAAAATCGCACACACAATGCATATTGCAGTTTATTTGTAGAGCACATCAATTTAATGTGAAAGTTGAAGAAAAATTTAGCGCTGAAAAATGCCAAAAAGAGAAATAGTCATAGATTTGTTTTTTTTTTTGTTTAAAACAAATTCACAACATTTTTATTTACAGGTAAAATGTGCACACACATTATACATACGAACAAGACGGACAGCAATGAACTTCTCTGAAGTGGCTGAGGTAGCATTTGCAAATGGACCAAAATGGGGACGACGCTATGCAAAATTCTTCAAAGTATTGATATTACAATCGCTGTTTTGGACATATTTCGGAACGTGTTCCGTATATACTGTGATTATTGCAGAGAATTTCAAACAAGTGGCTGAATACTATCTGGGCTATAAGTTGCCTATAGGAGAGTGCATTGCATATTGCCTGTTGCCATTGATTGCGCTCTCCTGGGTGCCCAATCTAAAATATTTGGCTCCAGTGTCCATGGTGGCAAATCTGTTAATGGGTTCCGGTTTGGGCATTACATTCTACTATTTAGTAGCGGATTTGAAGCCAGTCTCAAGTGTACCGGCAATGGGAACGCTGACCACAATTCCCGAATTTATATCGATCACGATTTTTGCGATGGAAGCCATTGGCGTGGTGATGCCATTGGAAAATCAAATGAAAACGCCCGGAAACTTTGTCGGCATTTGTGGTGTATTGAACAAAGGAATGTCAGGTGTGACGCTTGTGTATATTTTGCTCGGTTTTCTTGGCTTTTTGAGATACGGCAGTGACACCGCAGCTAGTATCACATTGAATCTGCCTACGGAAGAAATGTAAGTAGTATTGGCCGTTGGGATCCCTTTTATATGAGCTCTATCTCATTCTCGCACTTCCTCTCTATGTCGTAACGTACCAAATAAACCATTAATTTATGACTTATTCACATTTTAGCCCAGCACAAGCCGTCAAGATTTTCATTGCGTTGGCTGTGTTCTGTACATTTGGTCTTCAGTTCTACGTATGCGTCGAAATTGGATGGAATGCAATTAAGGACAATTTCAAACAACGTCCACTTCTCGTCAACTACGTATTTAGGTATGTGTGAGAGATTGGTCAGTTTGGCAAATTGATGCGAGCAAAAACGCGCGCTCACGAATCAAACATACACCCTTAAGTTGAGAGTTATTGATTAGAGCAACAGAAGGCAAATTTGGATTCTAATTATTATCATTGTAACTTACTTTATTACTTTCCAGAACCGTACTTGTCACAGCCGCTGTTCTGTTGGCCGTTGCCGTACCAACAATTTCACCGTTCATTGGTCTTATTGGTGCTTTTTGCTTCTCAATTTTAGGACTTCTTGTGCCGGTAATAATGTGCTTTGCGTGCATCAGAACATCATACATCAACATGCACTTATCACGATAAATGTAAATGAAATGCTAATTTTATCTCGTTTCTCTTTCTATTCAGGTTGCCATCGAATTTGTAACCTACTGGGACAGCGGTTTTGGTCCATGCAATTGGATCGTTTTCAAGAACGTTATCATTTGCATATTTGGCATCTTTGCTTTGGTATTCGGTTCAAAAGATGCCATTCACGGTATTCTCAAACAGTACAGTACCCCTGAAACTACAGCGAATGTAACACAAGCCTTGCACCAATAAAAACAACCATCGTAAACATTGTGAAATGTTAATGAATTCTATCGAGAGAAAAAGAAACGAAATCTACATGAAAATAAATTTTGAGAATAAACTATACACAGATCATATAAGTAGAATTGGCTCGACATTGGATCGCCTATCGTTATTGCAGCGACAGGATCTCACCAATTCAATATATCAGGATATGGATGATGAAGATATAAAAAAAAAACAAATTCGAGCCAAACGAGATAGTTTAACATTTTGCACGATGCTGTTTTCCGCTACAGTGTCTAGACACGGGAACCGAATACACACATTATTGTATTCAAATATGTAATTATGTATTTTGTGCCTGGTGCCTAAATTCAAAGAATTTTTTTTATATACAAATAATTAAATTATAGTTTGAAAATTATACACATTTTGACAATTTTATACGTGTAAATTGCTTATTCATTTGTTTGTCTGCCACAATGCACGTATGTGCATGTGGATCTGAATAAGAAATATTAGAACTTAGAATTGAATTGATTTTTTTTGTGCTAAAAAATGAGAGCTAGATAGAGAGAATTTAAAGTGTTTACATGATACAAAAAAAAAGCTAGAGGAAAAAAATAATAATTCACAAGCCTGATGGTATTAAAATTAGATGATAAGACTTTTTTTCTGTCACTTTTGTACATTCTGTCATTTTGATAAAAAAAAATCTATATTGTTCGCCGCTTTATTAGTCGTCAATCTTGGCAGTGACAAAAAATGAGCAAACACTATGGATTTCTGTATGGTGATCAGCTGTATATTGTCCAAATGGCGAGAGAGTAAAACCTAAAAAAAAAAACATAAAATTCCCTATTCCAATTCCCAATTTTTTCTAAATGGAAATTCATATGAAAATGAAATGTGTTAACTTTTTCGTTCTATTTTCGTTCTATATTCTTTTTCGGTTTCGACAAGCAACTTTAACATGAAATGTTCAAATCATAGCAATTTATTCAACAAAGAAATTTACCGTTTGTATAAGGATATTATAATCAAAATGCCCAATCGCATTAAAGACAACATTTAGAAGAGAGAAAGAGATAAAACGAAACAAAACAAAAATAAATAAAATGATAACAAAGATATACTTTTAAATTCATATCTCAATAATTGATATGATTAGATATTGCACTTTTTCCAATAAATATTTGATGATTAGTAAAATAAAACAAATGCCTTTTCGATTCTCTTTTTTTTTTGCTCCAAATCCATTCGCATGTTTTTCTGTCGAATTGTTCAGAAGAACACACGTACACCACAAACGCACTTCAACACCATAAAATAGCCAACTTTAATGATGATGATTAAGAGGCAGTCTATTTCCAATTATTTTGTTTTCACATTGATGGCCTCGTTTTTTTTCCTTGTTACGTCCAATAGAGAGAGAAAAATTGGGAAGAAATTGTTGAGATTCAAATAAAAATGTCGAATTTTAGAAGAAAAGAAGAAAAAAACGAGAAAAAAACCACTTGATTTTTTTTTCTTCAAACAACCATACAACTTTACTTGCAGGCCTCCAGTGGTGTCCCCTTTCGTTAGTCAAAGGCAGACACACACCATGAGCAACACAATATTTCTGCATCATACATCCATTGGACGGCACCTGGAAGAGAAGGAACAAAGGCAATTATTCTGCATTTTTACCAACGAATTTCACTTACCTCGTACTTACCTACGGCGGAATCGAACCTCCGACCCTTTGATTACTAAACTCACACTTTAACAACTGGACCATTGCGCGGTCGAGTTAAGATGCACTCGTTTGTGCACCGACGATTGATTGAGTTTATGACGACACGCTCTCTTCTCTGTTGATGCTGCTATACGTTTGCATATTGTTTATTGTTGTTGATGCCGTCGATAGCATCGATATTCGCATTCGCACACAGTTCAAATTGACAGCAACTGTATTTGTCAAACGTCGGATTGTGCGTTATGTTTACGGTTCATTGAATTTCGAACCAATTTTTGGTTTGAATAAAAATAAATTCGCTTTTTTCAGTCTTCATTCAATATAAAGGATTTTCAGAAGAAAACAAAAACAGAACCAAGAGAAACCATTGAATCATTGATTTTTTTGGGATACTTTTGTAGTGGTTTCGTCTGGTAAAATGCAATGAACCTTTGAATATTGATCTAAGTTAAATAGTGTGCCCGTATCTGCTTGTTATTTCACAGAGACAATTACTTAATTGATGATTATTTATAGTTTACTGAGCTATAATTAAAATCGTCTGTCGTTGCCAATTGCCAATTGCCAATTGGTTTCATTTTGATTTTATTAAACTGCTGCATGCGTTTTTTTTATTTCGTAACTTAATCGTACACTTTTTGAAGTAATTTTGAGTGTTGATAAAAAAATGAATGAAATTCGCTCGATTTTCAGTGCACATTACAGCGCAGCGTGTTATCTCACTCATAGTTTGGTGATGGAAAAGAAACAATCTAAACAGCGTGAAGATTGATATGCCGATCAAACTGCTCCAATCAAAATTGTCGATATGAATTATTGCAAATTTATTTGAAGTGACACAGATGTGAAAATTTGACATTTATACGCTTTACGCGTCAGCCACTCGAGAAATGCTTGAATAGCAATTGAAACTTGAAATTAATGGTCAACTAAACGGTTCATTGGGGGGCCAAGAAATGCTTCATATTTAAGTTTCAACCACTTGAAACATTTCCTTTGAACGATGATAACATTTTCAAGACTCGACTTAATCCATACACGGTGTAATTGCCGCGTTTACACTATTCCTAATCATACACTTGAACGTCAATTGATTGGGAATCAACTTCAAAATTCAAAAGACAAAAGATGAAAAAAAATGTACAGGATACACATATCAGTTGTGTCTGTGTGACTCATACCATTGTCTGTATTTTAAGAATTTTGGCGACGTAAATTAACGTATAGATTTTTAAAATTTGATTCTGCAAAGAAATCAGGAACAATGATAAACGACTGTTACCAATGAGTACATTGAGTGCTCCGAAGCCAGATAACGATGCACAATGTATTCATGAACCCGTATATTTTGGGTAATATTCAATGAACGATGGGCTTTCGCAATCAGTTCATGTATTACGGTGAATTGATTAATAGTCAATATTGGGCCGCTTGAAATTTCGCCTTTGTGTTTTTTGAGATTTGTTCAAATAATGGATTCCAAAAATGGGTAATGGAATTTTTTTTTTTGATATATTCTGAACACATCAATTAGAAGCGTTAATTTTTTTTCGTCGAACTTTACTTAATTGTACCGATGTTTGAATGCAATTCAGATACAAATTGTTTTGCATGGTGATCGAGTTATGAAGTCGATGCAGCGTTCATTAAATTGATCAAATTATTCAAACTAATTATTCTATTACAGATTGAAACCGGTCGCAACAGCTGATGCTGAAAAGGCCTCAATTGAATACGATCCATTTGCAATGAGAACAAATAAACACCATGCAACCACGTATGCAAATTGAATGGAAATCATTTTGTGTTTCTTTTTTCGATAAATGGTAAAATCAACTCTGCAAATTATTTAATTTAGGGACCGCGATACGTTGGTTCATCTGCTGAAAGCATCTCTTGGCACAGGAATCCTAGCCATGCCATATGTATTCAAAGCATCCGGATTGTTGCCTGGTTTTCTAGCTGCGCTAATCACCTCCTTCATCTGTACACATTGCTCTTACATACTGGTGAGATTCGGAATACAATGGAATTTAACAATTTTTTTTGCTCGTCTGATGATTGATTTGCATTCGCTAGGTTAAGTGTGCGCACATTCTGTACAAACGCACGAAAACATCAACGATGTCAATTGCAGACGTTGCTGAGGTCACATTTGCTAATGGTCCCGTTGCATTGCGTTGTATGGCGCCGTTTGCACGATATTTTGTAACAATCAGTGTGTTCGTGACATATTTCGGTTCCTGTTCAGTGTATGCCGTCATGATCAGTGACAATGCCAGACAAATGTACTTTTTCCACACTGGCATCGATGTTAGTATTCGCATATGCATTTTAATGTTTATGTTGCCATTGATTCTATTGTCATGCATACGAAGTTTGAAATTTTTGGCACCGGTATCAATGTTGGCCAATTTTTGCATGGTAACCGGTTTGGGCATTACAATTTTCTACTTTGTAAAAGATTTACCGGATTTACGTGAGCGTCCAATTGTTGGCGATATCACCGCAATTCCATCATCGATTGCAATTACGATTTTTGCAATAACGGTAGCTGGCGTGGTGATGCCACTTGAAAACCAGATGAAAACACCGAAAAACTTTGTCGGTGTTTGCGGTGTGCTGAGCCGAGGAATGTTCATGGTTACAATCATGTACCTTTTGGTCGGTTTCTTGGGCTTCTGGTGTTTTGGCAATATTACTGAAGAGAATATCACCAAAAATCTTCCCGTTGATGAAATGTTCGTAAAAAGATTGATTCAGTTTTTCATCTTCAATAGTGCACTGTCTCGATGTATTCGTTTTTTTTTCACAGCAAAGCGCAAATCGTTAAAATTTCCGTGCTTTTGGCTGTCCTACTCACATTCAGCTTACAGTTGTACGTATGCGTCGAAATCGTATGGAATGCGATAAAAAATCGATTTGAAAAGAGAGAAACTTTGGCCAATTATGCACTGAGGTATTCATTTCTTTAGATTCTGACTTCAGTTTATCCTCAAAATTTTGTTACCTTCGAAAAAATGATTGTATTTTTTCGCAGAATATTCCTTGCAGGTTTATCCGTTTTATTGGCAATTTTAATGCCATCAATGGGACCGTTGATTAAATTGATCGGCGCTTTTGGCTTTTCATCGCTTGGTTTAATTTTCCCTGTGAGTTCCACATTTTCAATACTTTAATATCAACTTGAAGAATTGCTAATAATTTTTAAACTAATCACGACTTTCTATTCAAAGGTTATTATTGAGTTGGTGATATGCTGGGATACTGGATTCGGTCGTTTTAACTGGATTTTATATAAAAACATCATTTGTATCGCATTTGGTCTATTTGCTCTAATTTTCGGTACAATGTCCGCAATTGCTGAAGTCATCGAAAAATTCACATAGAGTTTTTTCGACTCCAAATTTTAACGGAAATTAGTACAAAACCACAATTATTATCACTTGATGAAAGTAAGACCAAAGAATGTAGATCATAACAAAAAAAAAATACAACACAGAACTCATAGATAAATAAAGAGCGAATTTGTATGGTTTAAGAAGAAACTACTTGAATCATCGCCTTTTGAAAACGAAACCATTTGTGATAACAAAAATCATCTGTTCCTTCAAAGAAAAAGTCATGTATCATACCAAAAAATGAATAACACTAATAAAATTAGCATATCACATTGCAAAATATCATTTTATGTTTTTTTTTAAATAAAAAAAACGTAATATCAACGAGTATATTGGTTAAATGTTGTGGTTTTATTCGTCTCTTGATAAAATATGTACAATGTAAACCAGAAGCGTGTGCCGCCTATACGCCACACAGTATGCACCTAAAGCTTGTATCAAGTGAAGTTCAGCCGGAAACTGGTTTTATATAAATAAATCACACATCACCTCGGTAATTCAGTGTGCAAATGGAGCTTTAAAACCGACGATTAAAGCGTTTTACTCTACAATTCATTCAATTATTTTTTTTCGAAGATTTTTTTATAGATAAAACAAAAACGGTTCCTTCCCTCATATTTTTACTTCAACGCAAATTAGTCTAATATTCAAATAACAAAAATGTCGAATAGCTTACTTGCATTACCAGAAGATTTAAGAAAAATTTATGAGTAAGTATTGTTTGAAGAAATATTGAATTCAATCCATTTATTTTCAAAGGGAATATTCAAAAAACAAATATATTTGAATGGCATCGTAGACACATTGATGCCAATAAGACGCGATACGTGGAATCATTGCGAGAAGCGGTTGCTATAAAATCAGTATCATCATGGCCAAACAGCCGTTCTGATGTTGGAAAGATGATCGATTGGGTTGCTGAGAAACTAAGAGCACTTGGCGCTGATGTTCAATTGGCTGAATTGGGAAATCAAACTTTAATCGATGGCCAAACGCTTCCGTTGCCAAAAGCAATTTTAGCTACGTTGGGTAATGTATGTAGCACTGTTTTCATACCTTTCAAAATTCCAAGCAGTATTATTAAACTCATTTGATAAATTGTAGGATCCAACGAAAAAAACTGTTTGCATTTACGGCCATTTGGACGTTCAAGAAACATCGATGGATCTAATGGTCTAGTAGGCAAAGACGTATCTGCAGCTGAACTTTATGAAAGTATTGAAGATAATTTTGTTGAGTATGTGTTGTTCAAGTGTTACTTCGAATAATTCCGTGTAAAATTTAGATTCGATTTATTTTAATTATGAAATCTTTTTTTATTGAAAGAATCGGATACGATAAAAGTTGTTTGAAGAAGGCTATTTGCGAACTTGCTCGACATCCATTGCACAAAGAAGATGATGAAGAGCATTTACTGATGGACGTCATCAATTTTGTACTCACGTAAATTTTCCATTTTATTTGTATTTGTTTTACTTTTCCGCTAATAATGATAAAATTTCAGGCCAACAAAACACAATGGTTTCGCGGAACATGAAACTCATGAACGTCAAAAATATGAAGCAGCTCAAAAGATTGGCGAAAATGGTCACGATTGTGATGCAATTTACCCGGAGTGCGAGCATTCAATATTGAATAAGTTTTCTTATTTACTGACCGGATAAATATGAGTTTATAAATCATAAAAAATTTAAAATAAATAAACGAATTAACTTATGTTTAGAATAATTTTTTTTTAATGTAAACTTTTTCTTATTAAAACCAACACAATAATTTATGTTGAATATACATTTAAACGGCTCACGCCGCACATACTCCATCTGTTGACGTACTGTCAAAATTCAACATCCAACCAATTTCACCATATTGTTTAATTCGAATTTTGACGTTTTCGTCAACATATCGAAAAGTCAAATGAAAATATATATATCATCAGAAACGCTAAACTGTTTTCACAGCAAATTCTTCTCTGTGATACATTAGCTGAGTTTAGATTAAAATTGAAGGTAAATTATGTCGCAACCAACACCAGGAAGTGCTCGTGCACCAGCTGTAAATATAGAAATGTATTAATATTATGGAATTGAATGGAAAATCACTAAAATTTCTGTGTAAATTAATTAAAGAAAACTGCAACGACAGCAGTAGCAGCAGCATCATCATCATCATCGAGTGGTACAGCAGCTCCTGTTCACGTGCAAGAATTTGCCGTTCGAATTCCAAAGAACCTCAAAAAAATGCACCATGTGATGCGTTTCAATGCAACACTTAAAGTGGACTTTGCTCAATGGAAAAACGTAAAAATGGAACGTGAAAATAATATGCGAGATGCTCGAGCAATGGAAGAAGAAATGCCAAAATATGGTGCTGGTTCTGAATACAATCGTGATCAAAAAGAAGAATTTCGACGGAAAAAGTTTGGCTTTGCTCCACGTAAATATAAACAAGGTAAAATGATGATCTTATTCAACGCATCACGACAACAACAACTAAAAAATAAATTTAATTTTAATTTAAAGAAGCTCAACCATGGATTTTGAAAGTTGGTGGCAAATCGGGCAAAAAATTCCGTGGAATTCGTGAAGGTGGTGTTGGTGCTTATGCATCGTTTTATGTTTTCGCACACGCTCCCGACGGTGCTATTGAAGCGTACCCATTGAATGAATGGTATAATTTCCAGCCAATTCAACGTTACAAAGCACTTTCGGCTGAAGAAGCTGAACAAGTATTTGGCCGTCGGAATAAGGTTATGAATCACTTTTCGCTTATGATGCGACATCGTTTGAAGGGTGACGAAGAAGGACAAGATGATCCAGAAGAGGCGAAACTGAAATTGTCTGGCAAAAAGGGAAAAGAATTCAAAATTAGCGATGCCGATGATATCATGATGGTATGTTTTTTTTGTTTGAAATAACAATGTAAGTATGATGCAATATTTTTATGTTGTTGATTTGGATTTGTCGTGACAGGATTCAGACGATGACAGCGATTCGGATGTTGAAGAAAAGAAAGAGGATGAGAGTGACACAGATTCAAAGAAAAAGAAAGGTAAAAAGCAACCGCCGAAAAAGAAGAAGAAGAAGCAAGGCAGTGACGATGAAGCATTCGAAGAATCAGATGATGGTGATGAAGAAGGTCGTGAAATGGATTATATTGAATCAAGCGATTCAGATGAATCTGATCCTGAACTAGTGGTAAGGATTAAGAAAAAAAGATAAAATTTCAAATTCAAAACTGTAACAAAAACTGAAATTTCAGATGGACAAAGAAATGAAGTCAGTTGCCGAAGAAGATGGCCTGCGCAAATTGCTTAATTCGGATGAAGAATCTGAGGAGGAAAAGAGCTCAAGCGATGAATCAAGCAAAGAAGAAGAAAAGAAAAAAGATGTGAAAGAAAAAGAAACAAAAGATAAAAAGAAGTCAAAATCGAAGAAACCCAAAGATGGTGACAAAAAAGAATCGCTCACTGATTTGAGTTCAGATAGCAGTGATTCGGAGGCTGAATCAAAGAAACTACGAAAATTGAATGGTAACAGTGCGAACAATTCACGATCAGCATCACGATCGGCATCACCAAGCATAGATTTATTGACTGCCGGCCCAAGTGGATTAAAACGAAAATTACCATCCGATTTAGGATCAGGAGGTAATAGTAACGGTGCTTCTGAAAATAGCAATAGCCCAAATGTTACACCAGCCAAGAAAACGAAATACGATACACCGCCGGCATCTTTTGCTGGAGTCATCTCGAGCAATAGAGAGTATGTATTATTTTTTTACTTGTTTTAGAAAAAAAAATGAAGTTCTCTCTAGTTAATAATCACTTTTTCTCTTCCAAACAGTGACAATGGTATCACCGAAGAGGCCGTTAGACGTTATTTGATGCGTAAACCGATGACGACAACCGAACTGTTGACCAAATTCAAAAATAAGAAAACTGGCGTGTCAAGCGAAAAATTGGTTGAGACAATGACTCAAATTCTCAAGAAAATCAATCCGGTCAAACAAACCATTCAAGGAAAAATGTATCTTAGCATTAAGAATAAGTAGAAAAATGATCAACAGCAATGAAACAACGAATAAAATTTTGCGAATATTTGCTGGTTGTGCAAATGAAGCAATGTGATGTTGCATATACTAAAAAAAGCTAAATTATATTTTTGTTTGAAATAAAAAAAAACTGATGAGCGTGTAGCTTGTAGTTTAAACTCGTAAATAACGAGAGAAAAAAAGAAACAATTGTGTTTTATATCCATGACCTAATTTTATCTGTGACAAAAAAAAGAAACATATTTGTTTTTCCGAATGAAATAAAAGAAAATGGTTTTAAAATTGATTCAATTCTGTATAATTCTGAATTTCTTCACTTCTCCCATTCGTGCAAATATAATATTACCGAAAAAAGAATCAACTAAATGACATATTCTCGGTTTCAGTGCTGATTTTCTTTAGAATTGTGACTATTTCAGTAAAAATGTACAATACATCATTTCCCTTACATACATTCAACTAAAAAAAAATTGGTTTAGTTACAATTTGTCTTGCGATTTTGTTATTTTTTTTTCTTCTTTCTTTTTTTTAGTTTTTTAAATTTTTAATGCTCATTTAGTTTTTATTTAAGTTTCTCCCACATTCACTCACTTTACTAAATTATTCACTATGCTTAAAAATGTAATCCTTGTTTTAATTTATACATAATCTTTGTGTGAATCAAACGTACTTTGATTTTTTTTACAGAGATGATTATTTTTGTTTTTTTTTTCTTTACTTAGTATGGGTTCCTACAATTTGAATGAACCAATTTTTCAATATGGATACAATTATGCTGTTTATAGATTTAAATTGTAGAAATCAAAGGAAAAACTTTTCAATATTTTTATTTTTTTCCCATTTCTATAAAATGTTTTTCATTTAATCTTATACATATATGAGAGATGCTGTTTTTTTTAATTAGTGGTTTTGAAGTACGTTTGATAAATTTCAATTCACAATTGAAATCATGTGTTTTTTTTAATGTGTTTTTGTTTGTGTGTGTGTATGTGAATGATGCAAAATGAAAAAAATAAGTTGGACGGAAATATATCAACTGAAAATAATGAGAAAGAAATGAACGGAAAATTAGTCATTGTTATTCTGGTGGAGTATTTTTGTTAAATTATGATAGGTCAATTTTTGATCAATAAATCGAACATTATCGATGTCAACTTGACCAAACTGAGTATGAAACTTTGTTCAGATCACTGAGTAATTCAAAACTGTTGCACTGTGATGGTTAAAAATAAAAATGAGCATGCAAAATTATGATAAATTTTCACTAGTGCATAAAGTAAAAGACTGTCTGATTAACTGACTGTAACTAAAAGCTGAATTGCGGCTAAATAAGTCGAAAATCTCATTTTACTGAAGGCTATAACATGATCTAAACATTTTCAAAAAGTGCCTTCGTCAAAGTTGCCGGAATAAACAAAAATACTGAGCATTTTAACCACGAAAAAAATGAGATTTACGACTTTAAAGCCCGGTTTTTCAAACTTTTTATAAGCAGTGAATCCATTTTAATTTGTTTTTTTCTGTACCGTCGTGCCAAAGGGTGAGCTTCTTGAAGTGGATGGATACAAAGACGTTCGAGTTCATCGGTTAAGGCCCTCATAGTTTCCATCAGCTCACGTACTTCAGTAGCCGTAGTCTGTCTGCGTGTTACCACATTTCCGGTTGCTTGTTCCTCATTATACCGATGATTTCGCAATGCAGTCGATATGGATCTACTTAGTTGAGCGGCTAAATCATTCATATCAAATAATACATCTGAGCAATTGCGATCCATTGGTATAATATCAGCATCACCACTTGTGTTCGCGCTCCCTTGATGAATTAAACCAATTTCAATTGATAAGAATGTGATGGTTTCAGAATATAAATAGATTTACCTTCTTGAAGAGCTGGTGGGCTGATTGATGCATGACTGTCATTGGAAGCAGATTCACCGGATGGAGATTGACGATCAGTCGACATCTATACACAGAAAAAATCAACGAATAAGAAGTTTACTTTGATGTTTGTTCGCTATTTCTCGATGCAATGCATTATTATGAGCAAAACTCAAGGGAATCGAAAGAAAAACAAAACGATCGAAAGAAATTCACATCGACCAAAAAAAAAAAAAATTCGCATAAACAAAAACAAATTACAAAATTGAATCGCTTTAATTGATGCGATTGTTCAATGAATATTGTCGCTTGGTATGTGACTTTTTCATTCGTTTTTTTTCTTTCTCGTCTCTTGTTCGCATTCTAATTGATTGCGTTGTTCGTCTTGTTGGGATCTTTTGTCTGCGGGTGCTTTATTCACTCAGAAAAAAAATAAAATAAAGAAGAGTTTTTATTTTTTCTCCTCTCGTTTCGTTCACTTGCAAAAACCCCAGAAGTGCCAACAACAACCAAATTTTCTTTTTCTTCTCTTGCTCATTGACGAAAAAAAATTCACTTTTGCCTAATCGGTCAAACTCACATTTACACAGAAAAATGTTCACAATTAAACTTTTTAATCGAATGTTTCAATTCAAAAAGTCTTTGCTTCAATTTTGCGAGTAAAACAGTTCAATTTTTTTTAATGCTTAAACACACAACACTTGAAACAATTTAGAATTTTTACTTGTATCGTCGTCGTTTTGCGGCAGACGTATTCGTATTGGCGGACACTAATCTATTATTTCTTTGTGAATTGTTGTTTTTTTCCTATTCGCTGTGCACAGCTTGTGTGCGTCCCTCTCTTGCTCGCTTTGTCTAAGCATACGCTTCATATATTTCTATTTCATTTTGCTTGAATATAACATTTCAAAGAATTTTTAGTTGCTGTATTTTGATTTCGCCGTAAAATTTGATATTGCCCTCTCGCTTGAACACATTTGTCAAGCGTATTCATTGCATTTAGATTATTATTCATATGGTGAAAATACGAATGACGTATTGCCAGATGATAATGCTACTGGAGCAACAGTTAGGGCGATTTTCTACAAAATTCTATTCAAATTGATTTGATGGACACAAAAGAATCGAGTCAAATGATTTCATACAATTTATTTGTGGAAATTTCGTTAGGAATTTTTTTTTTGGATTTATTGATGTACAATTTCAAACTGAATGACAAACAGCACCATTTTTACAGATCATTTCATGTTAGGAAGAATAAATATTTTCCGCATATTTTCAGTGCCTCATCAAAATTACATTTCTAATTACAATTACAACTAAATCAATTGAACTTTTCCATCTAACAATAAATCACAGAGAATGGCACAAAAGATGTGAATGAAAAAGAAACGAAGGATACAATAAAGTCGAAATCGAAAAAACCCAAAGATGGCAACAAAAAAGAATCGCTCACTGATTTGAGTTCAGATAGTAGTGATTCGGAGGCAGAATCAAAGAATATGGTTGTTATTCTATGGTGCAGTTCAAAATAAAAATGAGCATGCCAAATGATTATACATTTTCACTAGTGTATAGAGTAAATGACTGACTGATCAACTGATTGTAACTAAAATCTGAATTGCAGCTAATTAAGCCGGAAATCTCATTTTACTGAAGGCTATAACTTGATCTAAGCATTTTCAAAAAGTGTCTTTGGCCAAGTTGTAAATCTTGCCGAAATAAACAGCAATACTGAACATTTTAGCCACTGAAAAATGAGTTTTTCGACTTTGAAGCCCGGTTTTTTAGACTTTTTATAAGTAGTGAATCGATTTTAATTTGTTTTTTTCTGTACCGTCGTGCCAAGGTTGAATCTTCCGATGGATGTTTACAAACTTCTGCGAGTGCATTGGCCAATGTTCTCATATCTTCAATCATCACATGTACTTGGGTAGCCGCGTTCTGTCCAAGTGTCACCACACTTCCGATTGATTGTTCCCCATTATCCCGATTATTTGGCAATGTAGTCGATATGAATCCAATTAGTCGACCGGCTAAATTATTTTTATCACATAATACACCGCGGCATTTGCATGGGGCGCACAACCGTTGCATCCGCTGGTGTTGGTTGATTTGCTTGAGCATGCATTGGCCCCTGTACATTTGGATTTATTTGATTGGCTTGCTGTTGTTGTTGTTGTTGCTGCTGCTGCTGTTGCTGCGCTTGCTGCTGCTATTTAATGATTTAAAAAGTTAATTTTTTTTTTAATTTGATACGAATGTAATGAAAACTAATATGTACCTGTCTCTGTTGTACCAAACTACCGCCACTCATCATTGGATTGCCAATGTTGTTAACATTCATTTGATTTGCTTGTCCAGCAGCGGCTTGAATTTGTGCCGGATTTACATTTCGCATACGCAACAATTGCTGTTGTCGTTGCTGAATATTAAATGGTAATCCACTCATATTTGCTGGTTGTGGATTATTACCAGTGTTCATAAACGAAGTCGGATGTCGTGAACGTAGCATCATTGACAGTGCCTGTTTTGATGGGTTATTCATTTGCGGTCGTTCGAATCGATTCATTCCAGCAGTTTGATTAAAGAATTGTTGTGATGGTTGTGATGTATTTGCAGGTTGATTTTGAGCTGATGTTCCTTGCATTTGGTTCATTTGATTGAAATTCCATTGCTGTTGTTGTTGCGGCGTTTGTTGTGGTTGTTGTGGTGTCTGTTGTCCAGCTATTTGCTGCGAGTGAGACATTCCCTGTGATTGATTTATAGTTTGACCTTGATTTTGCAATGGATTATTCTGCATCGGATTGCTTTGCATCGGATTGCTTTGCATGGGATTATTTTGAATCGAGCTATTCGGTTGATTTGGTTTAATATTCGCTTCCATCTGCTGCTGCTGCTGCTGCTGCTGTTGTTGTTGTTGTTGTTGTTGTTGTTGTTGTTGCTGCGGCTGCTGCTGTTGTTGCTGTTGTTGTTGTTGTTGTTGTTGTTGCAGTTGCTGCTGTTGAGCCAATTGAAGCTGTTGTTGACGTTGAGCTTGAGTAAGCTGCTGCAAATTGGGCTGAGGTTGTGGTTGCGGTTGTGGATTAGCCGCTTGATTCACTTGATTTACTTGCTGTTGTGCCATAACACCACCTGAAAAAGACAAGAAAAATCAGTTTTTTCTTCAATATTCTACTAAATTGTTCGATTTCATAGTAAATATGAAACAAGGACACTTACCGCTATTCATCATCGATGCCTGCATATTTCCGGAATTGAATGGCATTCCAGCGGTGCCCATATTTTGTTGAATACCAGCTTGTGCCATCATTGAACCGTTTACACTTCCAGTAACCGATGGATTTCTCATATTTGCAGCCGTCGACATATTTGGTATATTTCCAGTTTGACCAACATTTGATACATTGCTTTGAATTTGCTGCATCTATTTACGAAAATATTTGAAAAAAAAAACATTGTTATTTCATTGAAATACGAAAAAAAACAATTTTTATTTCTATTCACCTGTTGTTGCTGTTGATTTGCCTGTATTTGATGGAATTGTTGTTGTACATTTGGGTTCATTTGATTCTGAAAATACAAAAAATCAACAATTGTAATTAGAATTGAAAAAAACTGCAAATTCACATATAATTTTATATTATTGAGTACACATCAACTCACCTGCATATTCATTTGCAATTGGTTAATATTTTGTGAATTCATCTGAGCATTGTTATTCATCTGGTTCATTTGGCTATTCATTTGATTACCCATTTGATTACCCATCTGGTTGACCATATTCATTTGATTTGGTTGCTGTTGATTTTGTGTTTGGCCCATTGTTTGTTGAAGTGATTGTTGCATTGATTGTTGTGGATTTATCATTTGATTTGGATTTTGTGTTTGCTGCTGCTGTTGTGCAACCACTTGCTGTTGTTGTACTTGCTGTTGCTATAGGAATTATATATAGTTTTAATAAAGTGATAAGACATATCTCATTGTCAAGAGTCATTGACATTGCATACCTGCTGCTGCTGTTGCTGTTGCTGTTGCTGTTGCTGCATCATAAATGCAAACTGTTGTTGTGTATTTGTCTGTTGGTTAGGCATTTGTTTGCCTGGATTATTTCCGGTATCCATTGGAACGATGCCCGGTACAACCTGATTCATATTGCCTTTGGCTGGTATTGGGAATCCAGATTGTTGTTGATTTTGCTGAATAAATTGTTGCACTTGTTCGGATTGTTGATTTTGCATTTGTTGCTGTGCCTATAAAAACATTTAATAAATTAATTATTCGAATATTTAAACCAATAGAAATGAATTCATTGACAAGAAATCTGTTAAAACTTACCTGCATCTGTGCTGCTGCAGCAACTGCTGCAGCTGCGGCGGCGGCAGCAGCAGCAGCAGCCTTCGTTGGTTTCTTTTGGCGTTTGCCTTGCGGTGGTGCCATCACTTGTTGTTGGGCTTGAACATTTGGAATGCTTGGCGATTGTTCAATTGATGATGGTGGATCAATCTTTGGAATATCCTGAAAAAATCAAACAATTATTTAAAGTAATCTTTAGAAATTACAGAAATTAATAAAATATATATACCATTGGAACAGAAGCCATTGAAGTGCTTGGCATATTGTTCATATTCATAACAAGATTTGTGTCATCTTGCGGTAAAGTAGGTGTCGGTTCTTTCATATTTATCACTAACGGTTCATAGAAGAATGTTCGTGGTTTGGCTAAATTGTGCGTATGATATTTGAGTAAATCATGTCCTCTTTCATATTTCATAGGCCTTCGTTCCATTTTAACAGCACCAAACCAAGCCCATGAAAGAGGTGCCGGATTTTTGCTATTCCCTTCAATCAAATCCCATGTATTTATTTTATGTTTTTCAGTTGCACGTAATCCAGGCACTCGATCGATTAAATCAATACCAGGATATTGACTTTTTTCATTCGATTCAACTGCAATTATGTGACGTGGCATTCGTATAATGGGCAACAGCTGACGCACAGTTTGCTTTGTACGTGATGCTTTCTCACCAATTTCCTTACGAAGTCTTTTCGCCAAATTCATAAATGGTTTATTGTTGTCATCGCGTTCGTATGGATCATGAGCTAATAAAGCGTGAATTACCGTTGTTAACATATCATAAACGGTACCATACAGTGATCTATTTGGAATTTGAAGATTTTTTTTTTGTTATTTCAATATTTTTTCTGTGCATATTATTGAAGAAAAAACACTGAATACTCACGTATTTGTTTGAAAATCAATGACACCATTGCACATGAGTTGCGTCAAAAGAACTGACCAGTCTGTTGTAATCGCTTGACTGCGATAGATTCCATCGAATAAAGTTCCAACGAGTGATAATCTCAAATCTAATGCCTCAATCATTTCAGGCTTTGCTTCAGGATGCGCCAGATAATTGATATCCACCTTCTGTTAAATAAAATCAAAGTTTAAATATCTTTCTTTTATTTAACTCAATAAAAACTTCCATTGTGCACTTACTTCTTGTGCACTTTTAACAAAATGCACCAATTGTTTATGCAAAGATGATAGCAAAACATCACGTTGATCTTCGTGTCCTTTCAAGCAATTCAAAAGTAAATTGAAGAATTCTCTATATGCCAGCTTGGCCGGTTGTGGATAGAAAAATTCATCTTCACTGTCATCACCTTGTTGTTCATCTTTGTTTTCACTATTTTCAGAACAAATCGTATTTAGTTTGAAAATTGGCATTTGTACTCCATGCTATAAAAAAAATTACCTCTTATTATCATTTTCATCATCTTCATCACTATCTTCTTCGTCCTCTTCATCGCCGCTATCCTCATCGCTTTCATCTTCCTCTTCAACGTGTCGATAAACATTGAAATAATTCATTTTCTCCATCAGTTGACCGGCTACTTTGATTATTCGTGCTTGTACGCTGCCTGGCAATTTTGATAGCAATGGAATCACACACCATATTCCGGGGCCATGCTCTGGAACTGTTGGTCGTTCATTTTTCAATGGTTTTATTTCACCTGGTTTTGCTTTCTTTGTTGGTTTTCTGGAAAATAACAAAATATGTGCGTTAGTAATAATTGAAACTTTTCATTATTCTAATTTCGATAAAACAGGTGCACTTACTTGGGTTTCTTCTGTTTTGGTGTATAGTAGATTTCAACAGCTGATCGTGCAACAGCATCCAAATATTTATTAGTTTCAGAGACGGTGTTACTTGATTGTTTGTGCATAAGTTGTAGGTTTATACTCAATATTGGCATATTCCATCGATCCAAAATCTGAAAGAATCTTTGAATCGTTGTGCTTTGATCCATCGAATGCAATTCTGATGCTTCAATGTCTGGGAAGCAGATTAGTTGTAATAATCTTTGTGCTTGCTTTGATGTTAACAATGGATCGATTAACATGCCATTTTGGCAAAGATCATCGGCATTTTGTAAGATTCGTTCCAATACCCATTCTTGGTATGCAATTTGTTTTAGCACGTATTCAGCAAATTCCGATAAACTTATTGGCGTCTCTTGACTGCATAGAGGAAAATTATTTAGTTAAAAATGATATTCAACCAAAAGAAATCATTTTTTATGTACTCACGTTGTGTCTTGCATGGAAACATCTTCATCATTTGCATTTGTACCCAATTCACTGGTGCCAAGTATGTGACTAATATCAATTGAACCCGTTTTTGTTGCTGGTTGACTGGAAGTTTGACTTGAGGACGGTGTCGTGTCTAAATATTTGAGAATAAAAATGTCTCTAGTTAGTTTCCACCCTCTTTCATGATGAAGGATTAATTTTCAAAAAAGATACTTACTTGCGCTCGTGTTTCGATTGCCTCGTTTTTTTGAAGCCGGTTGCTTTTGATTTTCTGGATTCATTGCATCTCCAACCACTAAGATGCCTTTTAAAACAGCTAAAACTGGTCCAACAGCCAGATTTTTATGAGTCGCTGCCAATAAATGCCGATCACAACTGAATTTTATATTTAACTGAGGTCCTGGAATTTTTATTGGGCATTCTATCACAGGCATTCCATATAACGATGGTATGGGCAATTCAACAGCTTTACAAAGTCGAAACAGTAGATGACACGATAATCGAGCACCAGCTTCGGCTCCTGCCGATATTTCACGTCCACCTTTGCATGCATTTACCAAAGCCGGCAATGCAACATAAAAGATGAACTTTTCAAGCGAAAAACAACGACGCGCTGTAATCACATACAAGTAGAATTAGATTATTTAGACAAAAAATTGAGATTTTGAAATTGAATTAATTTATGCAAATCACACTCACCAACTAAAATCGAAACAAACACCGCCAAAGAATTGTGAATGGCAACTCTTTGTATGTCAATGTGTTCGGGTATATGTGCATAAAATCCATCATTGCTTGATCCGCATAATGCTATAAATGCGCCAAGCCATTCAGAACTAAGCGAATTACAATGTGCTGTGAATTCAGCGCACATGATTGAAATATCATTCAATCGATCGTTATCTGTTTCGCGACTGATTGCAATCAGTGCATTGCATACAAAACTATAACGATTTTCCAAACTTTCATTTAGTATTCGTCCCCATGTTGGATCAATTTTACCACCACGCGGTGGATTCACAAATATTTCCATCATAAACGCTTGATTGTAATAACAATCAGCTGGCATTGGTTGAACCGCAGCAGCAACCATTTGTTTGACTTTGGCATAAATATTAAAGAATGTTTCACTTGCCGGTGGTTTTGATTTGAGTAATGAACACGATGAATACAGATCGAGTAAATAAGTTAAAATACATCGTTCAGCCGATGCACATTCACTTGGATTTGTCACATGCTTAACCGTACGACACAATCCCTCGAATATTGGCAGTACTTGATCATAAGACACTGAAACATCGGAAGAAATCATTTTGATTAGTCAATGTTAAATGCAATGAAGGAAAAGTAAAAAAAAACAAACAAACAATAACTCACATAAAAGGCATCGATGGTATCGTCGCAGCACACCCACCACATACAAGCTCAACGATGTCGTATACGTTTTCACAAAACTTGAATTCATTTCAACGAGCTGAGATTCAACTTGAGGCAGTTTTTTCATGATCGATATACACAAATCGATTAGTCCATAAATATTGTTGCAGGCTTCCATTAAATCAAATAAATATGCGACATGCTCTTGCACGGGTAAATAATTATACGATCCACTCGCAAAGCTGCCAAGCATTTCAAGAATGGTTGCTGAACATTGCCACGTTACCATATGCTGATCAAAGTAGGTCATCGATTGGAATCGGGTCATTGTCGCCTCGAGATTACATTCCGTACGTGATTGTTTCTTTACTATACCACCCTCATTCATATCCATACTGAATTTCTTTGAATACAGCTTACTAATCTCTGTGAAACGAAAATAATTTGTTTTTTTTTTGTTGTTCAATAATAGAAATTTGAATCAATTTTGAATATATTTTATTCACATACCTTTTGCCATCTTTTTAACGGCATGCTTCTTTTCGTCACGTTCTTTACCAACACCAAATAATAATATGTAACGTTGATTGCAGTCATGTTGTGCAATTGTATCGCCTTGATACAGAGGAAAGTGTGTGGTGTACAAATAATGCCTCGATATTTTCGGTTGATCATCGTCTTCTTCGTCAGCAATATCCGAATTGGAACTGAGAAAAAAACAGCAATATGAAATGAAGCTCAAAAAACGTTCAAAGCAAATGTTTGAACAATTTAAAAACGCGTTAACTTACTCGTTATTTGTGTTTGGTTCAATTTTCGGGCTATCTGTAGCATCCATTAAGTCTTGTTGATCATTTTTGATATTCTGTAGAATTTTATCCAAATCATCATCTACATTGCTATCATCCAGCTCTTCGATTTTCGGCTTAAATTCCATGGGCGGCAGAATGTCATCACCGACACGTGAAGCTGGTGTTGTAGGTGGAAGCGTTGAAATTGTTGGCGGTGGTACAGCCATTGCATTCGAATTAACTGTCGGTGTGTTGGCTATATCATTCGAATGGATCGGCAACGTGAGCAATTCACCACGCGATATCAATGTGCACATGTAAGCATCATGCGAAAATACATCGTGACGAATCAGTTCACAGAATAAATGCACTAAATTTGTGAATTGAATCCTACTTTGATCGGTACAATTTTCTTCGAGAACAGGTGCATCATGATCTAAAAATGCCATTAAATTTCGTTGAAATATCGGTAGCCCATTATAAAAACCAACCGAATCATTTGAATCGGCATCATCAGCTGGACTTAATGAATCAACAGCCGTTATATCTGATTGCCGTTTTTCTAATAGCCATGCAACAACCATTGCACGATGTTCACCGAAGCGTTGATGCGAAACGGCCCATTCGCATAACACTTTGACGATTGGTTCATCGATTCGAGCCATGTATGTGATGCGAGTTTCTTTTACTTTGCCATTTACAAAAGTCTCCTGTAAAACAATGAAAATTTAGAAAGAAAAACCATGAATTAGTTTTCATGTCAAAACTTGTATTGAAATGTAATCATATTGTAACTCACCTGTTTCATCACTTTTTCAATTGGTTGAAATAGTTTTACGTAGAGTGATGCTAAATTATTATTATTTCCATCGAGTCGATCGAAACAGTGTGCATCTAAAATGCTCAACGTATTTAAAATGACTTCATTGATTTGTCCATCGACGGTTTTACGCAACCATTTATCGGCAACCCAACGTTTTTCGGAATGTTTAGATCGTTCGACAATTTGTTGTTCAACTTCACGTAAACGTTTTCGAATTAAATCATTTTGTCGTCGATTATACGATGGCATTGGTAACTGTGATGGTAAAACTGGCATATATTCCAATGGTCCACCAGCCAATGGTGTTATCGAATCACGTTCTTTCCCGGATAAACCGCACCATACTAAAGCACCTGGACACCGTAGTGTAATTGCTTGAATCATTGCACTCAATTCCATAATAACCGGTCGATGATGTTCGCACAGTAAAAAGTCACGTAACATTGTTTCCATGAATTGTGACGATGGTTTTTGTCGATGCTTAATAACGCCTAGCGATTGGCTTTTTGATGAAATGGCTTGCGAAACAGGTTGAACGGCACTCGCACCAATTGGCATGATTGATGTCGCATTTAACGAAACTGATGGAGGCGAAGCAGTTGGTGGTGAAACAGTTGGTGGTGTTTGCGATGATGATAGTTGCTTTGATGCGGGCGATGTTGATGATGATGAATACGGACGTGCACCAAAACTTTTTCGATCTGGATTTGTATTTGGTCTGGTTGGCAAATAATTTGAACCGAGTAAACTTTTTGTTGATAACACATCTTCAGGGCTATCCAATGATGCGGTACTCGGTGATGGTGGTGCTGATAATGGTGGAGGTGTTGGTGGATCCATTTTTATTTTTTTATAACGTGTACTGCCACGAGTTGGAAGTGGTGCACGAATTTCAGGCTCTTGTTTAATTTTTAAACCAACTTCTAGGCGATTCGTTATATTTGCATCACAACACGATGTTGAAGACGTTTGTGGTGGTGGTTTTTTCATGTTAACAGTAATTGCATCCTCTTCGGTAACATAGTGTAACATAAAACCAATCTTTTTACACACTAAATAGGCTAGGCGTCGTGATAAACGTTCGGATTCAACAATGTATGGTAAACACAGTAAAATGAACGGCATAAATAGCTTTAAGAATCCATCATCACTGAATTTATTTCGCATACGATCGAGAAGTTCAAGTGCCCATTGCAAGAATTCATGACGATCAAGTAGACTTTCTTCGCACATTGCTCGACACAATCGTGTACAATATTTCCAGTGTCTGAGAATTGTAGCAAAATCTTCGACGGGATTTAAACTGCCCGGTGTTGTTGGTATGGCTGGTGTGATGAATGTGTGATTACTTGAACTGCTACTACTGCTACTGCTGCTGCTATTACTGCTAGCACTTGTCGCACTCACATTTGGCGTTTCACGTCCACTTGACGAGAAATTCGAAAAATGTGTGATACCTGTTGTGGGTGATTCAAAACTTATGTGTTGTTGCGATTGAAATGGCTGATTGGTATTTGGTTTACCGCTCAGTGATGCCTTTGACGGTTGATTTGGCCGATATGCAGGTAAAACGTTTGTTGATGGGCTCGTTGACGCTTGTGGCATAATATTTTTGGTTTCACCATCTTCAGAGTTGGCGGATTGATTTGAATTTTCGGCTGCCTTTTCAATGAGCCGTTGTTTTGCTCGTTTTTTGGCACGTTTTGCAAGTATATCGGCGATTATTTGACTAATTGAAGGCAGGCCATGTCGCTTTCTCATTGCCAATCGTTTACGCACCAATTTTGATCCACTACGATCCTTTGTATCAACACTGTTTGCATCTTCTGATCCTGTTTTGGATGTTGATGCCACTCCAGATATATCAGTAGGATTGGTCGCTATATCTGGATTTGTGTTTCCATCACTTGTACTTGGTTGCTGTTGTTGTTGTTGCTGCTGTTGTTGAACAAGTGCCGATTCACGTTTAATTCGTGAAGCTTTCATTCGAGCCACTCGTAGTGTATGCTTTGCCCGTTTTGCCGGCGGTGGTCCCAACATTGATGCTTTTCGCTTTGTTAATTTCAATTCACGAAATCGAATGTCTTTCATAAGGGAACGGTTTAGCACTTTTTCACGTAAACTCTTCACCTTTGTCGATTTACCATCGGGTGATGATTTTTCTTTACCGATCATCGCACTTTTGTCTTTTGTACACTTTGTTGGCGTTAAATGTTTATCGATCGAGCATCGATTACATTTTACATTCGATGTTGATGGTCCACTTGTAATAGCCGCTTGTTGTGTATTTATCGCTTTTGGATTTTTCTCCAATGTATAATGTTCGACAAGCTTTTGTGACAAATCCTTCATGACACGTATCACGGTTGCAGTCCAATCTTTGGTGTCCGATGGCTGGGATACGGAACCATTTGTCTTAACCGAAAAAGATGGAAAACTGTTTGGTCGTGGAGCATCAGACAACAAAGGACCAGTTTTATGTTGGATTCATGCAATCGAAGGCTATAAATCGCTGGGCATTCCACTTCCCGTTAACATAAAGTTTGTGTTTGAAGGAATGGAGGAGTGTGGTAGCATGGGTTTGAAAGAAGTTTTGCTAGCTCACAAAGATGATTTCCTCAAAAGTGTTGACTATGTTTGCATTTCCGACAATTATTGGCTCGGAAAGGATAAGCCCTGTATTACATACGGTTTGCGTGGTGTTTGCTACTTTTTGGTTGAAGTTCAATGTGCGGCCAAAGATTTGCACAGTGGCGTATACGGTGGAACAGTGTAAATATTTAACTTTACTGAAATTGTTTTAAATTGGTTCAAATGCACTATTAATTGTCCAAAATTGTTCTATAGTTACGAAGGTATGGCTGACTTGGTTTATTTACTCAATTCATTGGTCGATAAAGATGGACACATTCTAGTCGATGGGATTTATAATGATGTAGCTCCGCTTCGTGAAAATGAGTCAGATACTATTCAAAACATTAGCTTCGATGTCGATGAATATCGCAGAGATATTGGATGCAATAAACTTGCTCACAAAGAGGACAAAACTAAATTGCTGATGCATCGATTCAGGTACCCATGTTTGTCAATTCATGGTATCGAAGGTGCATTCTATGAATCTGGCGCGAAAACGGTCATACCAAGTGAGGTCACTGGTAAATTCTCAATTCGCATTGTGCCAAATCAAACCACTGCTGAGGTCAATCGTTTGGTCATCGCTCACTTAAATGCCAAGTGGGCTGAACGTGGCTCAACAAACTCATTCAAAGCATACATGTTACAAGGTGGAGAACCATGGGTTGAGGATCCAAATCATCCTCATTATGAAGCTGCCAAACGGGCTACGAAACACGTCTATAAAGTCGATCCAGACATGACCTGCGAAGGTGGCAGCATTCCAGTTACATTAACTCTACAGGAAGCCACCGGTAAAAATTGTTTATTGCTCCCAGTCGGTGCTGGTGACGATGGTGCTCACAGTCAAAATGAAAAGATGAATATATTCAACTACATCGAAGGCGTAAGTTGAATGCAGTGTGATGCATTAAGTTTGGCTTTTTGAAGAGATTCAATAATTTTTTTTATATGTTTTGTTTCCTTTAGACAAAATTGCTTGGATCGTATCTTTATGAAGTTGGCCAATTGAAATAACCTCATTCAAAATGTCCAATCGCATTAAAACAACATTTACAAGAGAGAAAGAGATTTAAAAAAACACTAAAAATGAATAGAATGATAATAAAGATATATTCATAAATGCATGTCTCAAGTTCTCGATTTGATAAGATATTGCACTTTTTCTAATAAATACTTGATGATTAGTAAAATGAAACATTTTCGCATCTCTTGTTTTGCTTCAATTTCACCTGCATGTTTTGCTGTCAAATCACTCGCCGCAAAACCAAAATAAAAAGATGGATATTTTCAACTGCATCGAAGACGTTACTTCAATGCATTAATTCGATTTTATTTTTCAAGAACAATTCTCATCTTCACTGATCTAGGGGGTAAGAACACAAGCGCTTGAGACGAATTCGTACGAATATTCGTGAATTCTTGTGATTGTGTATACGAGACATTCGCAGCGCAGTGAGTGTACAACAACAATAACAAAGCCACGAACGCATGAATATATCCCAAGAGAAACGGCCAATATGTTTATACGCTGTCTATCCGCCGAAAATACACTACAATATATATATTCACGCTTATTGGACGCCGAATTGAATATATATTCTAGTGTATATTCGGTGTATTCTTCAGCGTGAAACATATTGAATCAACGAATGCATTCATGGCCACCAGAGGGCGCCTGAATATGTTTCAATATGTTTCACACCGAAGAATACGCTGAATATACACTAGAATATATATTCAATTCGGCGTTCAATAAGCGTGAATATATATATTGTAGTGTATTTTCGGCGGATAGACAGCGTATAAACATATTGGCCGTTTCTCTTGGGATACGAATGTATACGAATGTCACAACTTGTTCCTAGCCCCTAGTCACTGATAATCAGTTAAAACAAAAAGTGTAATGTTGAACATACTTCCATAAAATAAAATCTCACATCAGTATTTTCCATTTTCCAATTTTAATGAAATAAATTCATCTCTAAAAATAAATGAAACCGTTTCAATAATGAAATTATCCAAATGCATAGTTGCTAATTCAATCATCACAGACTTCTGATTTGCACAACATGTTGATTATTACAATAATGTTTCGATTTAAAGGCCACTATGCATCCAACTGATAAATTTGCAACGCAAAATATAAAACCACAATGTCAAAAATTGCATAATGACTTGATATATTATCGCATTAATGTAGTATAATTACTCATATCAACACGCAATTTATTTAAATTATAATTGATAAGTCATTTGGAAGGTGACAAATGAGTTCACAATTGGGCGATGATTCAAATCAACGGAAAAATGGACTCTAGTTCACACTGTATCAAATATGTGTGCATTTAACATACGTTACGTTGCTTAGTCGTGTGTCAAAATTCGAATTTCGCACATGGCACATGGAATTTCGATTGAAACCAAAATTGAAGGTTTCGATTAAAAAAAAGCAACAAAAAAAGACTTTTACGTCCAGAAAAAAAAAATCATGATTCAAAATCCAAGTCGAAACAGCAATGTATGCCGCACGTATGAAATACGCCATACAGTATGCATTCACCGCTTGTAGCATTCGAACAAAGTCAAAGTCAACCACGAAGTTGTCCGTATATAAAGTGACTGCGTAGTGCGTATTGACTGGAAATTCAGTATACAAACCGAATTGTCACAAACACAAGAGCTTTGTAGCCGGCAAATATAGTGGCAAACACTTACGCGTACTCATCGCAACAATATCACAATAGTGGCAACAACAGTGAAAACGCAGTATCATTCGAGAGCAACAAAACATTTTCGATCAAGAGAGAAAATAGTCTCGAGAAGACTTTCTATCATTCAAGTCTGAAAATTCACTGTCACCACTTGTGTCACGCTTATCAGATATTTTTTTTTATTGCAACCAATTTAAGGTAGTAATTCAGACAGTTGTCTTTTTTTAAACAATTAGAATTTAAATTGGTTTTGTGATCGAAAAGAAGAAAGATGTCAAGCAACACTCTCCCATTGCCTGATGATTTGAGAAAGTTGTTCGAGTAAGTAGTTATTGGAAGAAATTTGCTTTTTTTTTGTCGTGAATTGATGAAAGTTCTCTTTGGAACAGAGAAACTGGTTAATAGCTTTGTATATTTTATTGTGATGGTTCAAAGTCATCGTGACTAGTGAAATTGTGCCCTAATTCAATTTAAGATAAACGATAGTTGGCACATCCATGTATTGTGATGTACTGTACAGTGTACACGCACACACATGTAATTGTTTATGTTAACTCGAAATCGTATTTTTTAACATTTAAATTTGATGTGACATTTGAATTTTCTTTTCATCATCATTTTTAGGCATGTCGATGCGAATAAGGCTCGATACATCGAAACATTGAAGGAGGCCGTTGCTATAAAATCGGTATCGGCATGGCCAGATAGCCGACCCGATGTGGTTAAAATGATGAACTGGGCGGCTGACAAGCTTAAAAAACTCGGCGCTCAAGTTGAATTGGCCGAATTAGGAACACAAACTCTGCCCGATGGCACAAAAATCCCATTGCCGCATGCAATTTTGGGCGTTTTAGGCAATGTACGTACTGATTACGAAATGACTGAAAACAAAGACAATTGAAACGATCATAAACAATGATTTATTACGTCATCTTATCGACATTCTTTTGAAAACAGCACCTTTAATTCAATCGGATTTTTTTCCCTGTCGTGTTAGGCTAAAAAAAATCCAGTACTTTTATTGCTGTAATGTTCGATAAGGCAAAAACCCGATTGAAATTTCAAACTTTGTATCGTTTTTCATGGTGTTGATTTATCACGTTCGCTTATCTTTTTTCATAAACATAAACAGTGCACTTAGTTACTAGTTTCATTGTAATGAATATACGAAGACTCATTTCATGCATTATTATTGCCATAAATTGTAGGATCCAAACAAAAAAACGGTCGTTCTTTACGGCCATTTGGATGTTCAACCGGCATTGTTATCCGACGGCTGGGACACCGAACCATTTGTCTTGACCGAAAAAGATGGCAAATTGTATGGGCGCGGTTCATCCGATGACAAAGGGCCAGTCATCTGCTGGATTCATGCCATTGAAGGTTTCCAAACGCTGGGCATTGATATTCCAGTGAATATCAAGTTTGTGTTTGAAGGGATGGAGGAGAGTGGCAGCGAAGGTTTGGATAAACTGTTGATGGCACGCAAAAATGACTTCTTCAAGGGCGTTGACTACGTTTGCATTTCGGATAATTATTGGTTGGGCAAAGAAAAACCCTGTATCACATATGGTTTGCGTGGTCTTTGTTATTTCGGAGTCGAAGTGCAATGTGCAGACAAAGACTTGCACAGTGGCGTATACGGCGGTGCTGTGTGAGTCATATTTGTATATGATATTATATTACAATGAAAAAAGCGAACAAATTTTTCATTATTGATTTAAATTTTGCTTTATAGTCACGAAGGTATGGCTGACTTGGTTTATTTGCTCAACACTTTGGTTGATAAAGATGGTCGCATTTTAATCGATGGCATTTACAATGATGTGGCTCCGCTGAGCGGTGATGAGCAAGCCATCTACGATGCTATTAGCTTCGATGTGCCCGAATATCGCAAAGATATTGGATGCAATAAACTCAATCATAAAGAAGATAAAACCCAATTGTTGATGCATCGCTGGAGATATCCAAGTTTGTCAATCCATGGTATCGAAGGTGCATTCTACGAACCGGGCCAAAAAACTGTTATTCCACGTAAGGTCACTGGTAAATTCTCGATTCGCATTGTGCCAAACCAAACAATTGCTGAGGTTGAACGTGTTGTACTGGCTCATTTGAATGCCAAGTGGGCTGAACGTGGCTCACCAAACTCATTCAAAGCCTATTTGGCACATGGTGGTCAACCATGGAAAGAAGATCCAACTCATCCACATTATGAAGCTGCTAAACGAGCCACGAAACACGTATACAAAGTCGATCCAGATTTGACATGCGAAGGTGGCAGCATTCCAATTACATTGACCTTCCAAGAAGTAACTGGCAAAAATTGCTTGTTGCTTCCAGTCGGTGCTGCCGACGACGGTGCTCACAGTCAAAATGAAAAATTGGACGTTCGCAACTATATTGAAGGAGTAAGTTATGGCATGCAAAACGAATGAAAAAAAAGAGAAAATTATTCTTAAACGAAAAATCATTTTCTTTTGCAGACGAAATTACTCGGATCTTATCTGTACGAAGTCGGTCAACTATCTTAAACTCTCTAATTTTAAATGTGAATCCATGGAAAATAATGAACTGCACTTCAGAGTGAAATATAGACCATTTTTTATGCCTAAAACGGAACATTCAATGCATCATATATAAAACAGTGAACTGAGATACCTAAAATCATCACATGTAATGAAATTTATTTTCATAAACAAAAAACAATCAATATTTTTTAAAAATAAATGTTCACGTTGCAAAAAAAATATTAAAAAGAAAATTTTAATTTCCATCTAAACTTAATTTAGCCGGTTTATGAACCATTCAGACAATTTGGTAAAAAAATGGAGCAACAAAAATATCAAATGTCAAACCCAAAATTTCAGTTCAATATCACTCTCTCCTGCCGAGAAATGTCAAAAGCAACAACATTTTTTTCTTCTTCTTCACTCAGTTGACAACTTTATTAGGGAAACGTAATTGTTTCTGTGTCGAGGTGTGGTATCGAAGCAATTTTATTTTGGATAAGTTTTATTTTTTATTAAGTTAATTCTAGTGAAATATTTATTAAGCGAGCAACAATGACTGGTCGGTTGCCAGCTTGTGTGGTTGATGTTGGAACGGGGTGAGTTGTTTTTTTTTTGAAAATAAGTTGAATGTGTGATGCGGTGAAAAAGAAATTTTTTTATGCTGCAATGGTGATTTACGTTTGTTTACACCCTATTGCGCATATTTATTACAACGGATTGTCTTTTTCTTCTTTTCTTTCTTATTGTTTTAGTTACACAAAAATTGGTTATGCTGGCAATAAAGAGCCGCAATTTATAATCCCATCAGCGATTGCTGTTCGTGAATCGGCTCGGATTGGAGACCAGGCGATTCGACGAGGTGGTAAAAATACTGCAGACGATTTGGATTTTTTCATCGGTGATGAAGCGTTTGATGTTGGTAAAACGTATGCGGTGAAATATCCGGTGCGACATGGTCTGGTCGAGGATTGGGATTTAATGGAACGATTCATGGAGCAATGCATTTTTAAATATTTACGTGCTGAACCAGAGGATCATCATTTTTTATTGACTGAACCACCGCTCAATACGCCCGAAAATCGCGAATACACCGCTGAAATTATGTTTGAAACGTTCAATGTGCCCGGTTTATACATTGCTGTACAAGCCGTTTTATCACTTGCTGCGAGCTGGGCATCACGTCCAATCAACGAACGCACATTGACTGGAATTGTTGTTGATAGTGGTGATGGTGTAACTCATGTTATTCCCGTCGCAGAGGGATATGTTATTGGCTCATGTATTAAACATATCCCAATCGCCGGTCGTAACATTACCTCGTTCATTCAGACACTATTGCGAGACCGTGAATTCAATATTCCGCCAGAACAGAGTATGGAGACTGCCAAAGCCATCAAAGAACGATACAGCTACATTTGCCCTGATATTGTAAAAGAGTTCACCAAATATGATAGCGAACCAAGCAAATGGATTCGCCAATACGAGGGAATCAATTCAGTGACAAAGAAACCATTCAACGTTGATGTTGGCTATGAACGATTTTTGGGTAAGATTGATTTTGGTTCGAAGCAGTTTTTATTCACTGTTTCTTCCTGTGAAAAGACTAATTAAAAAAAAAATTCTTATCCATAGGCCCGGAGATTTTCTTTCACCCGGAATTTTCGAACCCAGATTTCACTACACCAATCAACGAAATCGTCGATAATGTCATTCAGAATTGTCCAATCGATGTGCGACGTCCTCTGTACAACAACATCGTTCTGAGTGGCGGCTCGACAATGTTCAAAGACTTTGGAAAGCGTTTACAGCGTGATATCAAGCGAGCAGTCGATGCTCGTCTTAAAATAAGCGAACAATTGAGTGGAGGACGATTGAAGGTAAGAGTGACTGCAATCAATCCTTGAGAATAATTGAATTAAAAATCAAAATTGCTTTATCGGTCGATTGTATTTATATTTGATGCAAACATTTCCGTTTTTATTCCATAGCCAACGCCAATCGATGTACAAGTCATTTCTCATCATATGCAACGATATGCCGTTTGGTTTGGCGGCAGCATGCTCGCATCCACAGTAAGTTCAAATCAAATTGCACGAAAATTCCATATCTGAAAAACGAAACTGATTTGCGCATACTTTTCTTTTAGCCGGAGTTCTATGAAGTTTGTCACACGAAGGCAGCGTATGAAGAGTATGGTCCGGGTATTTGCAGATACAATCCCGTGTTCGGTACAATGACATAATCTAGTTGAAAATTAGTCTCATGCTGTGTTTTTGTGCGTGTGTTTTTTTTTAAATGAACCAAACTGCCAATTGTCATAAATATTGTATTAACAAACAATAATCTGTAAGCCATAACGAAACTGAACAAGTCAAAGAAAGCAAAAACAACAACAACAACAACAAGCAACTAAGCCTCATCTATATCGCAATATAAAAACAAAAATGTATTATTTTAGTTTGAAAATACTGACTTTACCAAATCTACAAATAATATAATGAGAAAAATCATTTTGTGTTTTATTGAAATTTTCTGCGGTTGCTATGCCTTCTGCTAACCATGAATAGAAAAAATCAATTCGAAAAGTGCATCAGACCTTTTGCGTAGTTTGACGAGCCTATTGTGAGGTTATGTTTGATGTGGCTGAATGTCAAAACAACACGATTTCAGTTCAGTGCGTTCGTGTTGATTGTGCATTATACATACGTAGCATTACTCTCGATTTGTGTATCATCAAACTGTGACACATACTTTTTTAGTTACAGAGGTGTGGTGTAAATAGAGAAAAGATTTTTTTTTTGTTGAAAGTTTATTAAGATTTTTTTCTGTTATTCAAAATGACTGGACGCTTGCCAGCCTGTGTTATTGACGTTGGAACTGGGTAATTATTGCGAAATCAATTGAAAATGGTGTGAATTCATTCAATACAACATCGAACATTTTCTCTTCACTTTAGTTACACAAAAATTGGGTATGCCGCAAATAAAGAGCCCCAATTTATCATTCCATCCGCGATTGCTGTTCGTGAATCAGCGCGTGTCGGTGAGCAAACATTACGTCGTGCTGGAAAGGGTGCTGATGATTTAGACTTTTTCATCGGTGATGAAGCGTTCGATGCAACCGGCTATGCCATCAAATATCCGGTGCGTCATGGTCTTGTCGAAGACTGGGATTTGATGGAACGCTTTTTGGAACAGTGCATTTTTAAATATTTACGTGCTGAACCAGAGGATCATCACTTTTTATTGACTGAACCACCGCTCAATACGCCCGAAAACCGCGAATACACCGCTGAAATTATGTTTGAAACGTTCAATGTGCCCGGTTTATACATTGCTGTACAAGCCGTTTTATCACTTGCTGCGAGCTGGGCATCACGTCCAATCAACGAACGCACATTGACTGGAATTGTTGTTGATAGTGGTGATGGTGTGACTCATGTAATTCCGGTTGCCGAAGGATACGTCATCGGCTCATGCATCAAACACATTCCAATTGCTGGCCGAAATATTACTTCATTCATTCAGAGCATTTTGCGTGATCGTGAATTGAACATTCCACCAGAGCAGAGCCTTGAAACGGCAAAGGCGATCAAGGAGCGTTACAGCTATATTTGCCCAGATATTGCCAAAGAGTTCGCTAAATACGATACCGAACCAAGCAAATGGATTCGCCAATATGAAGGCATTAATGCTATTACCAAGCGACCATTCAACGTTGATGTTGGCTATGAACGCTTCTTGGGTACGATAAACACTAACTTTTTGGTGCTCTTTTCTTTAGCTTGATTTGTTTTTGTATCAAATGACTAATTAAAAAAAAACATTTTTATCCATAGGCCCGGAGATTTTCTTCCATCCGGAATTTTCGAACCCAGATTTCACTACACCAATCAACGAAATTGTCGATAATGTCATCCAGAATTGTCCAATCGATGTGCGACGTCCTCTGTACAACAACATCGTTCTGAGTGGCGGCTCGACAATGTTCAAAGACTTTGGAAAGCGTTTGCAACGTGATATCAAGCGATCGGTTGATGCCCGTTTGCGAATAAGCGAGAGTTTGAGTGATGGCCGCATTAAAGTAAGTCTCTTATCCCATGTGTGAATAAAAATTGATGACTCATTTTTCATGAAATCATTTCAGCCAAAGCCAATTGATGTTCAAGTGATTTCACACCACATGCAACGATATGCCGTTTGGTTCGGTGGCAGTATGCTTGCATCCACTGTAAGTTTGTTCTGGTTTTTTTTCGGCATTTTTTTTATTTGTATTCAATATTAACCCACATTCGTTCTTCAACAGCCGGAATTCTATCAAGTGTGTCACACAAAAGCTGCCTACGAAGAATATGGTCCAGGAATCTGCCGTCACAATCCAGTATTCGGTACAATGACATAAGTGTAATCAAAGAAACGAATTATGACAATTGCTTGCAATCTCATTTGAACGATTGTCGATTGGTTAACGTGCTCAATCAAGCTTATTGAAATTTATTGAATTTAGAATTAAGGATAAATATCGTATTGAGTAGAAGAGAAAAGAAGAAAAAAAAACACACACAGTGATACGAATCAATTTTCTATCATTTTCTATAATAATTTACAAATTTCAAATAACAGAACAATAAAATTGTATATTTTTATACTGAAACTTCCTAAAATTGCGTTAAAATAAAATAAAGAGAGATATGTTTTTCTATCGAACGAATTGATTGACTAAAATTTGTTTTGCTTTCAATGATTTGCCTCCTTTTTGTGGGCCAATTTTGCATATATTAGATCATTCGCCAATCTGTCGAGTAACGTTTTTTAGCAGCTCATTAACCAATTGGACAATGCCTGCGGTAGAACGCTTTGCGGTCTGAATTGTTTCGATACGTATATTTTGATGATCTTCCATCTCATCGCTTGTTTTTTATCATACAAATGACCTTTTATGCAAGTAATTAAAATTAAAATTACGACTTTCGGTTTCTATTCGAAATAATAATTTAATTATTGTAATTAGTCACCTCACAATAGCTGTTTGGAGTTTTTAACTTGCTTTCTATGTTGTCCTGTTCGATATATTTTATAACATTAACTGAATATTTGTTATATTGAACATTTATTTTAAATTATTCTATGTAAGAATTGAAAAAAATGGAAAAAAATACCGAAAATAATAACTAAGATAATATTGTAATTGGTGTTTACTATTTTTGAGCTTTTTTGAGAAATACCAATTTTACATTCCCTTTTGTATACATTTCGTATTCTATTCATCCCCATTCGATTCCGAAGGCTGACTTCCAAGTTTCTACTTCGCATTTAAAAGCAGTTAAAATGGTGACTTTTTTCAAGTCACGTAATTCCTTCAAAATGCTTGGAAATTGTTGAATGATGCTGTAAAAATGGAAATCGTACAATTTTAATATTTTCATCTTGTTGTAAAGCATAATGAAGTTCAATGAATCCAATGCACTGTAAATGCGTCCTAATGTCAATTTCTTGAGATCATCAAACGCAAAGAATTCTGACTGAGCAAAAAAAAAACAACCCTGAGAGAAAAGTTATCGATGTTTTTGAAACGACGAATCGGTCTCGTTACATTTCTTCGACGCATATCTGCTATGTATAATGACAATTTTTTCAGTTGAGCCAGATCATATCTTGAGCATACACCTCGTATAAGAACCAAATTTTCTTGTGGCGCCATCTAGATGGCTTGCGGGGCGCAATGTATTTTAAATTGTTAGCTAAGTTTTTTCAGCTTAGTACAGAACCATTTTTGGCAAAGATACAAAAGCATGCTCGAGGTATGAGTCAGATTTTCATCGATTGAAGAATATATTAGGTCAATGTATTTATGTTCAAGTGTTTCTATTATCAATGATAATTTTTTGATGTGTCGATTCCTGCACAAAAAAGAAATAAAAGAATCCACGTCTTCACGGTTAGTCAATCTCGATTTAGCATTTCCCAATGGAGGAATGTCCTTTCAACTGTTTTTGTCCAAGGCGGTAGTTTCAATGTACGAAGATTTTGATTAAATTTCAATAAATTATGATTCAAAACCGAATCCAGGTAAAAAATTCCTTTAATAAATGAAGAGTTTCTGTATCTTTTTCAATGGCTTAACCACCGCAAACCATGGACAACCCATGACTTCCATCACTTCTATTGAATCAGCACAATATATGGAAACGTATTCCTAGGGGAATATCACGCTTAAATTATTTCAAATATTTCAAAAAAATCCAATTTATCTCTAAGAATCTGTCGTATGAAATATGGTGGATATTTGTGAATACGGCGGAATATTTTGGATTTTTGTGATTATGAATGATATTTAAATGTATTTATTTAGATTTAATGCAAAAAATCTCAAATATCTCCAAAATCCACAAAAATCTGATTTATTTATTCGAAATATTCGAAAATATGTCATACAATTGATGTTTATTTCAAATATCTCAAATATCTCACAAGATTCAGGAGCGTGATATTCCCCTAGACATATTCTAACACGTGTTTCCAGTTTGGATTACCGGATCTCAGCTTCTCCCCATACGTTTCTTCTACATAAAGGAGGCGAAAATTTTTAATGGATTCTCCGAAATTCCGCAATAATTTAAAACAAGCTCTGGCATCTTCAATTCTGGCGATCTGTTTGTACCGTTGTGGAAATTACACGAAGTCTGTTCGTTGTTGTCAAAAAGATCGTGTTTGTAGACTGTGTTCTGCACTTCTTGGATATTAGCTTCGCGAGACCCGACCATCATCATTTTGAAATGCGGCTTCAATTCTAACGAACTTAATCGCAAATCTTCTGCAGCTACTTTGCCTCCAACATTTTTCATTGAATTTTCAACATTTATTTCATAAAAAACATGAAAAATCGTATCTTGTTATTTCCAACGGAATTTTCAATGCTTCGTAACATACCTTTATACTTCAGATTCAGTAGCTTTTATCGTTCGGGCTGAACATTTTGGCAATTTTATGCTTGAGCATGGCCACCGTTTCCTAATAGCTGATATCAATTAGAGGATACTCTTTTTCATTCCATTTCACGATGATCGACACATCCTTAGGGGAGCTCATTTTTCTCGTTAAAATAATTCACATTCGTCAATAATTCCCTAATCACGAACATGTTCTGCAGTTTAACCAGGTTAGATGCAGGTATGCGACTTAAACTCAAATGGAACACTAATGAAAAAACAATTGCAACATAAGAAAAAACTATTTAATGGAGGCTAGGGGAATATCACATTTGGACTATTTAAAATATCCCAAAATATCTCAGGATCACAAACATACACAACACGTGACAAAAACACATTAGTCACACACAGAAAAGAATCCCCGGAAATTTAAGGTGTTCGCCGTAAAATTTGACATTTATATATAAATTTCTATGTACATTTACCGGCAACACTTGAATTTTCCGGGCGATGACATAATTTCAAATATTCCAACAGAAATTAGCGCCATCTGTCATTTCAAGCGGTAAAATATATATAGTATTTGATAAAATGTTCAAAAATATGTCATCGCCCGGAAAATTGGAGTGTTGCCGGTAAAATGTATATGAAATTTATATATAAATGTCAAATTTTACGGCGAACACCCAAAATTTCCGGGGATTCTTTTCTGTGTGCACTAACTAGCGTTAGTGTGTGAGTGAAAACAATAAGTGGTTGAGGAATACGGAGGCTAAAATGGCGACACTTTCTGTGTATGACCCTTGACATATTGGTGTTCCCCAATGTAGGTTCGCTAAATTACAAAAAACAAATGCTTCACTATATTTGGCAGACAAGCGTGAAAAGTTATATTTATAAAATATATTTTAATCATTTTCAATCGATCAAATGACAAAATCGTAATTTGCTCGCCATTTGGTGGTACCGTATATGACACCTGACAACGCTGTGTTGCCATTGAACTGATTGGGTCGAAACTCTTCAGCCTAACAATTTCAGTTTTTTTAAAATGGAAA